CTGTTTTGCACATACATTCAAAATCCAGACAAGTTTGCGAAGGTACGTAAGTTGGACATAAGCTTTTTGGCTGACTTCATGGGGTCCCACTGGTGACTAGAAGTAAATCTTCAAATCCATAGAAAACTGGAAAGTTGATATTTGTCTGGGTAAGGACCAAAAAAACAAAGTCAGGGAAGCATGTCACCTAAGTAATAGTTGCTTTATAGAGCTGGTAAAAGACCTAATCATTCTAACAAACTATTGTACCAATCACTCAATGAAATGAAATTTAAGTGTATCCTGAACATTTACAAGCATGTGTGTGTGTGTGGGGGGGGGGGGGTATGTATATATATACATTTTTTTTTTTTTAAAGATGACCAGTAAGAGGATCTTAACCCTTGACTTGGTGTTGTCAGCAGCACACTCACCCAGTGAGCTAACTGGCCATCCCCATGTAGGATCCAAACCCGCGGCCTTGGTGTTATCAGCACCACACTCTCCCGAGTGAGCCATGGGCCGGCCCTTACAAGTATATTTTTGAGTGGAATTTTTTGACCATTGCTTATTTAAAACCACTTTTGTCAAATTTCATCCTGTACAAGTATTACAAGGAAATGTATTTTTATTTCTTATTATGAGTACTATATCATAAACAGTATTTAATTTGGCTGTTAATTAGAAAAAGTGAGAGCCACAGAAGAGAAAAAAAAAATTATTAAAAAAAAAATTGTTCGTGGTAGTAAAAACTGTAGTATGGAGGAAAGAAAAAGGGAGAAGAGGAAAAGAATCCCACATATGGGAGTAAAAAAATCCAAATAAAATCTAAAACTACTATGGATTATGATAGACAACCTGTAGGGCCTACCATGCACCAAGCATTGTGCTGAGACTGAGGTATGTTAAGTATTAACGAGACAAAAATCTTTGTCTTTAAGTAGTTCATAGGGCAAGACTCACAAGTAAACATTAATAATACAATATGCATTCTATTTCTTATAAATACTGGTCATTAATACAAGAGTAAGAAGTATATTTACTGATTAATTGGAAGTGCAGGGAAAGAAATAAGTATTAGAGAAAGCTGAGATAATTCTCAAAATGGTAATAATATACAGTGAATGAAATTAGTACTTCTGAAAAAAATTCACCAAATTACTGAATTAAAAATGAACAAAATTATGGCTTTAGAGCTTTTTACCTTAAAATTCTTAGAAGAATATGCTTCCATATAAAACTCTTAAGTGCTATACAAAAAACTGTGCATGATAGTTTCATTTCTGACAAAGGAAAATGAGGTAGCATAGCATAGTGCATGTCAAGAGAGCTGAGTTCTCTGGTCCCTGTTCTGCCCACTTATACGCCTTGGAAACTTGGGCAAGTTCCTCCAGCTGTCTGAACTTCAGCAATATGGAAAATGAAGAGTTGCATGAAGTGACCTCCAAGATGTCAGGTAGTTGAAATATTACAACCCTAAAGTATCAATAGTTTTTAATACTTAAAAAATAAGTCATAATAAAAATACAATAAAAGGTTTTCTAAATATAAATTATTATTCAACCTAGAGAAAATCTGTACTCTTCCAACTATAATGGGCTACCCTTTGGGTGGTGGGATAAGGAAAGCTTTCAAAGGAAAACGGAAACAAAGTAAAGGTACTCAAACTCAAGACTGTAAATTTTTACTCAGCTGCCTAGTGGGCAACTATTATCCCGATTATCTACACAATTCACTTCTTTAAAATTCATTTCTTCACTAAGTTCTATTTTCTATCTCTTATATTAAGGTTGCTAACGTTTCAAGTTGAGGACAAGAAATCTTAGGTGGACCTGGAATAGTAGTATTAACGTTGGGAGTAAAACTTAAACTTGACAAAGATTTCTGCTTAAGTACACCAATTACACCTCAGAGAAACGTAAGAAATTGTTCCAATCTATAACAGAAACCGGGGAAATAGACCATATTGTTTACTGCTACACAGCTTTTTCATTTCCTGGGTGTAAATGTCTACTTTTGCACACAATTGGTAATTAAAATATTACAGAACAAGTTTCTACATATGCAATGTTTTCCTGTCACTAAAATACAAGTATATTGTGTCTCGGCTTTACCATCATGAAAATAAAAAATTAAAAGTACAGGTATTATCATGTTGTTATAATATTTATGTCAAATATCCTTCTAGATTTATATTTCTTCAATCCTTTCTAGTTGATGAAATTGCTGTTTTCATATTGCCAGTCTGATCACAAAATTGCTGCTTTACAGAAGAATATTTTTTGCTGACATAAATTATGGGATCAGAGATACCAATGCAGTTACAAAAAAAAGGGTGTGTGTGAAAGAGTCTGTGTGTATGAATGTGTGCATCCTTCTTCAAGGAAAGATAAAAAAATGCATATATGAAACAAAATAGCACTTTCCCATGTTAGCCCTAGTAAAAGGCCTACATCAGAAACATACTCTCTAGCCTTTATGAAATAAAATACAGCACTCAATTTGAAGGTGATTGACTCAGAACATACGATGTAAAAATAGAGAATAGTGAATTTTATCCACATTGTTACTCTATAAATCTAATCTGTATTTACCTTTCAACTTACACCTAACTACAATTAATATATTAGCTAAAACTTCATGATTTATTTGACTAATGAAAACATATTTTAGAAATTTGTCTCCTTTCACATATAGAGAGCAATTTGGTTCTGTACCCCAAGAGATGAAAAACTCATCTCAATTTACAATAGTAAATAAATAATTCAGTTAAAGCTGAAAGTGGTACCAATCCAGCAAACTATTCATGGAGAGGTTTGGCCTTCCATGCAGCCAGAACAACATAAAGTTTTCAATGGGAATTACTTGTTCAGACAAGTTACAAAGATTAGAAAAATACCCACATTAATTATGAAATAGCTACTATTCTCATCTTATGGAAAATACATATCAGGAACATATGTGGGAAGAGACAAATACCAGTGTCATTTAAACTTTAAAGCATTTTGAGCTTTTAACTTCATATACTGATACATGAAACAACATTTAACAATAAAAAAGCAATAAGTCAAAACCTAACCAAAAGCCTCTATCAACTAAAAATCTGAAAATTTTTATGCAAGTCAGACATAACAAAAAAATGGAAAATTAACCCCTAAAAGCAAAAACCAATCAAGTCTTCCAACACTGAAGTCAATATCTAAATTATACAAGACTAAAAAGAGGAAAGCCATCAGGTCTACAAATGTATAAGCAGTTCCAATACAATCCAGATCCCGACATTTTCCCACTCAGAAACAAATGCAGTGGAGCTTTTCCTGGGGAAAGAGGAAAAAGCTCTCCAAATGAATTTTTTAAAGTGACATCTAGAAAGTGTGCCTCTTTCTGTCTCTTTCCCTGGCGCCTCATTGGAGGAAGGAGGGGGTTGTTTTTGTATTCTCCCCCACTGGAGCAAGACACAATCAGATGTTAGCTGAAGGAGAGAAACCACTTTTGACCAGCAAATAAAAATAAAAGTGCCCTTCCTCCCCTGACAGGATGGGTACCCCACCTCACACACCCCTCCCCACTCCAACCCCTCCTTCACTCCCCCACCCCCCCCAGCACCACCCCCTCCTCACCCCGGAGCTCCACTGCGTATGTGGTTTGGTGCTACTGCTGCCCCGGAGTGAAAGTCAGAGCCAGAGGAAGGCAATGAAGCCCCCACAGACACACTTACCTTTCCTGCCCCCCACTTTTGAGTGCCTTCCCTGGAGCTGTGGAGGATGACACAAAGAGTAATAAAGGGGGGGAGTGGAGGAGGAGGAGGAGAAG